CCACCTCCCTTCCCTACTCCATGTTCAATGACCTCATATAGGTAGCTTGAAATTAGCCAACAGGTGACTCTTCAAAACAGGAATTGGCAAAGCTATAAATCAGGGCTCGATTTGTTACTTGGTTTTTTCCTTATTCTCTAGAACTATCCAAGTGATAGACAAAATGTTAATCTTGTATTAAACTTAAAAGTGTGTTGTGTCTGTTATTGTTATATAACAAATAACACAAAAATATTGAATAATCTTCCAGTATTAAAAAAAAACGATTACCATTTTCAACAAAGTCACTCATCTCATTGAAAAATGAGTGAGGTTCCAGCAACAGGTCTTCATGGTTTCACTTTCATCTTACTTGTTACTGCAAAGGAACATATCCGCCAGCATTCTTATCAGGACTAAGAGAACCGGCAGCTGAACAGTAACCAGCACACCTCTGCCCCTGGCACTGGTGGGCCTGTGAATCTGGTCCCCGCTGGCTCCCCCCTAACACTGTCGGCAGCACCTCAGGCCTAGTCACATGGATCTTTGTTAAGTCCCTCGGAACCCCAGTTTTCCCACCTCGGGTCTTTAACCCTGGGCTTTTTGTCCCATGAGAGAATGTTCCCTGAGTATTCTACAGGAACTACTTCTTCCCAGTCCCTGTCCTCATTATCCCATTGTATTGGCTTCATTGCACTTTCTCCTGCCTAAAATATTTAGTAATTTACTTGTCGAATGGTTGCATCCTGTCCGTGTAACAGGAGGGTCACTGGAGCAGTGACCTGTCTGCCTGTCTCCAGCCATTGCATTCAGTCTGGTGCCTGGCACACGGCAGGGACTCAGTAACTGCCGGCTGACCAAAATCTATTTAATTAGAGACTACAGTGTCAGATAATGATCTCAGCCTTATCGCTACCAGTTTTCCTTAGGGGTAGCCAACGTGGGGGGATCTTTTCTGGAGACAAGATTACAGCAGAAGCTGTGACGAAGTGACAGAACTTCAGCCACAGCCCTGGGCACTGCCGCCCAGACACGCCTTCTCCCTCGACTCCTTCTTGCTCCTACCTTCTCTTGTGTTCTTAGAGACCCCCATCCTTGAGAGAAGAGTCTATACGAAGAGTCTATACGAGGCTTACACAGCAGAGAGGAAGATGGTGGGGCAGAGGGTGGAGGATGAAATCAGGTTTTACAAAGTAAAATGGTTGGTTACTCTGGGCATTAGCCAGGCACCAACACAAAGATGACTAAAATCTGTGCTAGTGCTAAGTCAGTCCCTGTGGAAACGCTTCTCTTCCAAGAAGAAAGACAAATTAATCTGGCGATCTTTAAAACACCCACAGAACTTGATACCTTTTAGCCTCTACTCAATTCACACCTGGCATCAAACACCCCAGAGAGTTCGGCCCCTCATGGTGGCCGCGGTGTTCATCTCACACTCAGATCCCTGTAGAGATGGGGTGACTCCACTGTGCTTGTGTCTACGCAACACGGTACAAGTTCGTGTTGTAAAACCTAAGGATAAATGTACTGCGGCCCAGGGTCTACATGGACTATGGCTCCTTGGACCATCCACACAGAAGGAATGTTCCTGCCCCAGGAGAGTATTTCCGCATTATACTGCCACGTCCCAATATCAGATCCATCCGAGGAAGATGGAGTAGGAACGCTGAAGTGATGGCAGTCATGACACTCACCATGTACTCTGTGTTGTCCTGAGTTGAGGCGCTTTACTGCTCATAGCATTCGTGCATGTATCACGTGTCAACTCATTTAACCCTGACAATAACCCTGTGAGGGAGGTTCTATCATTATTCCCATTTTACAGTTGAGGAGAGTGAGGCCCAGGATTTAGTTGTTTTAAGTTATGTGGTTGATCATAAGTCAGAATGCAAATCTGCACAGTTTGACTCCAGAATCTATGCATTTAGCCACTCCACAAAACCCTGTGAATATCCTTGTTTTACAGATGAGGAAACTGAGGCTCAGATGGGTTAAGAAACAGCTAGCAAGAGGCAGAGTTGAAATTTGATCCCAATCAGCTTGGCTTCACAACCTCTTCACCAGCAGCCCGCTGGGAGTTCAACCACACAGGAGAGTTAGACAGTGAGCTCAGAGCCAAGGGCAAGAGGGAAGCCTTTGGTAGTCTACAAACAGACCCACCCTGAGGACTGCTGATTCATTGTGCCTTTGTTTCTTTATAGCATAACATTAGAGTACGTGGCTTTACATCTGAGTGTGAATTTGCCAATTTCACTTTCAGTAAGTTATCGAACCTATTCAAGTCTCTCCTTGATTCTAAAACAGAGGTAAGAATAGTGTTTTCGTGGGGATTAAACCCCTTAGCACAGTATCTGGCACAGAGTAAGGGCTTCCTAAGTGAGTCTTAGTGATTAGCATCTTCGGTGGTAGCCAAAAAAGGCTCTGACCAACACTTGCAAATAAACCGAATCTTGCATCTCTATATAAATATCCTTTTATAAGACATCAAAGCAAATCTTATGTTAAAATTTGCACAGAGAATTCTATATCTGATAGGTTAATATCTTCTTAGGCAAAAACATCATGAGCCTTGGCCGTGTGGCTCAGCTGGTTGGAGTGCCACCCCATATACCAAAGGTTGTGGGCTTGATTTCGCTTTGGGGTGCAAATGGGAGGCAACCAATTGACTCTCCTTCTCTCTCCACCCTCTCTATCTCTCTAAAAAAAATCAATCAATCGATAAACATACCCTTGAGTGAGGAGTAAAAAAATCATGAGACATTTTACAGTTCATTCAAAATGTAAATATCTGTAAAATCTATTTAAAAAATACAAGAGGACTTCTGCCCAAGATGGAGGCATAGGTGGAAGCACTGCACCTTCTAGCACAACTAAGTTTAAAAACAACAAAGTTTTAGCAACAAAAATGCAGCCAAACCACAGAAAATTGAACTACATGGAAGTCTGACAACAACAAACCCTTCAGCCAGACCAGTAAGAGGGGCAGAGCCAGGGGCAGAGCCAGCAGCAGAGCGGGGTTGGGCAGGAAAGAGCCACTGAACCAACTTAGGCGTGCGACTCAGGTGTGCCAGCAGCCATGGACAGATCCCAGGTGTGGAGAAGTGGGTGGACCCACTGAGGGTGCAAGGCGCTGAACCCACTGAGAGCTGATCGTAATCACACATTCGCAAGCAGATAAACCGGTGAAGGAGCTAGTAGTGAGAAGGACCTCGCAGGCCCCAGTGGTGGGAAGCGGCAGAGGGAACCGCCATTGTCCCTCTCTGACTCTGCCCCCACATACAGCGTCACAAACCAGTGACCTGGGTGGCCCCGCCCTGGTGAGCAACTAAGGCTCCACTCCTCATACCTAACAGGCACGAACAGATGAAAACATGGCTCAAGAACAACTCAGAGCCCCAGAGCCGATAAATCTAAGGGATGAAGAAATAGCCAAACTTTCAGATGCACAGTTCAAAACACTGGTGATCAGGATACTCACAGAACTGGTTGATTTTAGTCACAAATTAGAGAAAAAAATGAAGGCTAAACTAAATGAAATGAATGGAAATACACAGGAAATCAATAGCAATGAAAAGGAAAATGGGTCTCAAATCAATGGAGTGCACCAGAAGGAGGAAAAAAATGACCAAACAGAAAAGGATGAAGAAACAAGAATTCAAAAAAATGAGGAGAGGCTTAGGAACCTTCAGGACATCTTTAAGCGCTCCAACATCCGAATTATAGGGGTACCAGGAGGGGAAGAGGAACAGCCATAAGTGGAAAACTTATTCGAACAAATAATAAAGGAGAAATTCCCCAATCTGGCAAAGGAAATAGACTTCCAGGAAATCCAGGAAGCTCAGAGAGTCCCAAAGAAGTTGGACCCAAGAAGGAACGCACCAAGGCACATCATCATTATATTAGCCAAGATTAAAATGAAGGAGAGAATCCTAGAAGCAGCAAGAGATAAGGGGACAGTCACCTACAAAGGAGTTCCCATCAGACTGTCAGCTGATTTCTCAAAAGAGACCTTACAGGCAAGAAGGAGCTGGAAAGAGGTATTCCAAGTCATGAAATCCAAAGACCTACAACCAAGATTGCTCTATCCAGCAAAACTTTCATTTAGAATGGAAGGACAGATAAGGTGCTTCTCAGATAAGATCAAATTCAAGGAGTTCATCATCATGAAGCCCTTATTATATGAAATGTTAAAGGGACTTACCTAAGAAAAAGAAGATAAAAAAGAGGAACAGTGAAAGGACAGCAAACTCACAGTTATTAAGAACCACACCTAAAACAAAAGCAAACTAAGAGGACAGCTAGATCAGGAGCAGAACCATAGAAATGAAGATCACATGGAGGGTTAGCAACAGGGGAGTGGGAGAAGGAGAAAGGGGGAGAAGGTACAGAGAATAAGTAGCATAGACGGTAGGTAGAAAATAAATGGGGGGAGGGTAAGAATAGTAGGGGAAATATAGAATCCAAAGAACTTGAGACACATGGTCATAAAGTAAAGGGGGGTAATGGTGGGGGAAGGGGTGTGCAGGGTGGAGGGGAATGAAGGGGGAAATAGAACAACTGTAATGGCATAATTAAGAAAATATATTTAAAATATAAATAAATAAATAAATAATGCAAGAAAGCAGAACTAGAAATATTTACCAAAGAACCACATGTCATTAAAATTAAAACTACATCTGTAATATCTTAGTCACCAAAATGAATCAAATCAGGCTCGAACAGAATTTCAGTGTTTTTTTTGAAGACCTAACTTTTATATTTTAAAAGAAATAATGGAATTTTATAACTAAAGTTTTATTTCCATCTCTTCCCATTTAATAGTCCCCAAACCATAATTTCAACAGCATGCTTAAAACCTTGACTAATAAGGAATATATGTAATTACCTGATAAATTTGAAAGACATCTCCTCGGGTGCTTTTGGCCTCAATTATTTGCCTTAACCAGGTACCTTGTTTTTTTTTCTGTCCACAAAATACTTAGGACATTAATTTTATATCCATGCCTTCAAAATGACGATACCTTTCCTCCTTGCGTCGGGCAAGCACTCACTCTCGCCCTTGACGGAGACCTTCCAGCTCCTTATCCGACAGAAGAAGGACCGCCTGGAGCCGGGGCACGCATGCATCCTTCCTGCACAGAAGGCACTGGGAACCTGCACACCAGCTTTCCCAGGAGGAGGCAGCAAGAGAATAGGTAGAAAAAAGTATTTTCAAATAACTTTGACGTGTGTATCTCCTAACATTTTTTTCTGATCACCTATTACATTTTTTATAAGTGAAGAAAGAGAAATGGTTATTTAAAACAGTACCATTGTACAGCAAGCCAGGAAGTGAAACATACCAAAAAATGTGTTTGTCAAGCAATTGTATTTTTTTTTGTTTTTTTTTTGTTTTTTTTTTTTTAAATATTTTATTAGAGAGAGGGAGGGAAGGAGAAAGAGGGGGAAATTTTTAAGTATGACAACTCGCAAACTTGCAACTTACCTTTATTCCCCCCCGCCACTGGGTGGAGCATAAAGGCAATTCAAATAAATGAAATAAAAATTAAATAAAAAGAAAACTCCTCAATTGGAGTAGTAATAAATGGCATAAAGCATCATTATTTTTATACTATAAATGATCACTTGGTACTAACCATTTTTAGAGAAGATAAGTATTTTTAGAGAAAATAAAGAATACTTATACCTCTCAGGCAAAATTTCTACAAGGCGTTTCACCCATATAAGAGAATATCTCTCAGCGTATAGCTGAATAATAAAAATTCACCAATGGTGAGTTTATTTCATGGTGAAATAAAAAATGTCATCAGTTTTTTATTCCAAAAGATACTTTCTTGTAAATATTTTGTTAGACCATGAAAAATAGCAAATATGACTCAAAGCAACTTCACATATTTTTACATGTGTGTGTGAATACAGGAATTCTCTATATAGTTATGTTGTTTTTTTAAACTCTGAGGCTAATGACTGTAAAGTTTTCTACATAATTCTCCTTTTGATAAAACTGAAATTAGCTAACTTTTCAGAAACACTGTCTAGCTGGGCTTTTAAGTGACAATTACTTTTACATTAAATGGTGAGCATGCTGACTGGGGCACTTACTTTTGGCATCTATTAGTTTCTCTCTGGGTGACAGATCAGAAGAAGACAGTTGTTCCTTTACTTTGGCAACATCTTTTGGATGTAAGAAGTCAAATAAGCTTTGTCCAGTCAAATTAGCCTATTTACAAAGTAGATGTTCATTTAAAGTCAGTACTTTTTCTACATTTGCTCACTCAGACATAGGATGAAAACTTTCTTTTGTTAATCTCAGAAATACATCCACTACACTGTGTGACATTAACCAAGTTAACCAAGTGTTAAAAGCAGGGTCATACCTGTAGACAGAGAAATAATGCACACATATGGAACTGTAACTGGGTACCCAGACCACACAGAAGCTCCTAATCGCTAATATTCTATTCACTCTTATTCCTCTTGTTAACACTCCCCAATTCATATACGTTACTTCTAAATCATATTATGATTTACTTTAAACTTTATCTTTGGCAAAAGGAGAGCAATTATAGTGTCATATGGAAATCACAAAATAGCTGTGATCATGTGGTATAACAGAGGTTTATCATACTGCTTTAAAAAAGTCACCATGCTATTGAAAAACAAAACCAACCTGGGGCACCTCCCACTTCCCATTCCACTCTTCCCAGCAGGTAGAGCCTTCTTAGGTCTGTGCCTTGGGTGCTCTGTGGTCTTGGCACCTGGAATTCATTATTCTTTCCCTACAAATTCGGCTCCCTGGCCAATCCAGCCAATTGCCCAGAGTCCCTCTCTCAACCCAAAATCTCCTTCTCACTTCTCTGCACATCTTAATGCTTAGCAGACACTCTACTTTGCATGAGAGGTCCTCCCTGAGCCACAGTGACCGCCCTGCTCCTGACCTCCTTTATTACCCAAGTAGACATTCCTACAGAAGATAGAACAAAAGGACCAGAAGGTACAAGTAGCCTGGATTGCCTGGTGGTTAGATACCTCATTTAAAAAAGCTAGCAATATGATTTATGCATCAGTCTATCATGTGATTGGGTAATATAAGTCTACACCCAGAACTCTTCTTTACAGCTAATCAGCTTTCTGAGCCTGAAAAGCTGGGACTAGACCCTGCTCTATGCGAATCCCCAAGTCCTCCTCAGCGGTCAGTGAATCTCTGGGTTGGCCTGTGAAATGCAAAGTCAGTGCCCAGTGGCACTGGACTCCATGTCCCTATTTGGAACCTCAGGGCCAGCTTGAACTGTCAATTAACTTAGTATGCATGATATTCTCTATTTCCAATGAGAAGACAGAATAATCAGGGATTGCCGCTTTTGTGCCCCCAGCTATAACCAGCTGCATGATTCCCTTGGTTCTCATTCCTTCTGAATTTGGGCTCATAATATCTTCCTTTGTTATTTAGCACATTATCTATGAATGCCATGAATGCCTTATCCCTCCAAATTTCCAAATTTGAGAGGGAAGATAGGCTGAAATTAATAGCAATTATTTAAGATGGAATCTTTAGCTATGTGATTTCTAAAAGGACACTGCAGGTGCTAGTTAACTTACTCTGTTGGATTATTTTCAGTGCTATAGCTTTGGATAACAGGTTTAAATTAAATGCTTTTCAGTGATGAGAACGTAAAGCAATTACACAGCTATTTAAATAAAATATGCATTTCAGCATTGGTTGCCAGAGCTTAGACCAAAAGCTGTTATGCAATGCATATAACTTAGTAATAAATAATAATGCTCTCTCTTGACGAAAACGGAGAAGGGTGACCAATAATTTTCAGACACTGTCACATAGGACAGTTTATTTAGTCTTTACATCCTGAGAGACAGCTATGGTCATCATGTGACCACACATAAGTGAAGCCGAGGTTCAGGGAAGTGAAATAAGTTGCTGAAGGTCAGAAGTTAACACTCTTTTCAGCAACGGAAATGCCGACACTCAGGGCACTATCCTCCGCCACCCCCACCTCCGACTCAGCAAACCTAATGCCACCGCCCAAGGGAAGGAGAGGTTCAGAGAGAGAGAGCTCTAAAATCTGTTCAAAAACCAGACACAGTGCAGAAAATATCCTATTTTACATACCTGATCATAATTAAGTATTGTGGAGACTGACTTAGAAACAAAGACAATTTTTCCTCTTTCACATCCAACCACAAACAAGAAGCCTTCTGCCGCCTAGGGTATAAAAATATAAAAGTAAATTTAAAAAATATTATCTGCCTTTCTCACACACACATTCAGTTTCTGGGGAAATTACTGTCGCAATAAAACTAGCAAAGCGGTCACATTATTTAGTAAAATTAATTTTACGAAATTTTCTTAAGATGTACATAAATAGATTTATAAAGAACATCCAATGGGACCCCTGTCTAAATTAATGTATTTTCACATGGGTGGTTCAGCCAGCGGATACTGAGTTGAAATACTTCACAGTATAAAATCTCCACATCACTGCACACAGAAGCTGGGCAAAGACACGAAGCGGCGTCAGTAACAACTGCCTGTGGGGTGCTCAGATGGAGAGAGGTGCAGGCCGGGGGTGAGGTGGCAATGGAAATATCCTACTGCACACCTTTTCACACCTTTTGGATAACCAGAAGCTGCCAATCAAAACTAAGTTAAAGAATTCTAACACGACGCACCAGCGACGCCCCTGAGGTACACCCAGCGAGTCCCCTGTGAGGCAGCCTGTGCTTGAATGGACGTGGGGACTCGGAGGCTGAGTCTGGCACTCCCCGGTGATGTTCCTGGTGCTCCGTGTTTAATTCTACTGCCTGCCTTGCCCCATGTCTTAGAACGTGCCTGGCTTCCCTCTCTACTTCCTTTAGCCCAAGCTAATACGGCATGGTTACGTGTATAAATTTCATATTAAAGGGAATCTGGTGTGATAACAGAAAGCAAACTGAAGAAAATTTGCATCCCGCTCAAATGAAAATGAAAGGACAAATATGATTTAGGCAAGTTGATTTCTTTACTTACCTTAAGGATTAAGTGTCTGAGCTCATTATCCTGTATAAATGAAGGTCGATAAATATCTCCTGTGTAAGAATTTGTAATCCCTAAAAATAAGCAAGTCAAAAGTTACTGAAAATACAGTAGGGTAGGAAATGCAGTAAGTGCTCAACGAACACTAGCAATGCTACTGCTGGTGAGGACGGTGATGGTATTAATTGTTCTCTTTCTCTGTAATAACTAGATTAAAAATTCCTGCTTTTAGATGGTAAATTCTTGGAACTACTTATTCCTTTATATACTCAAATGTGTACATGGTAAGAGCTGTATATATCCATTAAAAAATCTATTAATACAATATATCATCTATAATAGTACATAACAGTATTCAAAAATCTAGTTATTTTTATATCTTAGTGTATTAAAATTGATCATATGAATTACCCTGAATGGATTTTGCATGTGACCCTTTAAAGATCGTGGAGGCGCTTCTAATAATACACAGAAATATATAGAACATGATTCATGTTACATCCTTAGCAAGACCTTATTGTATTTTTTTTAAAATAAAAGTCACTCAAGCAACTGAAGAACTGATAGGAATTATCAGGTCAAAACAAGGATGCCTTGAAGGCATCCACCAACCTTGACAGAGGAAAGCCCTTCGTGGCCACAGAGGAGCACAGGAGGCAGTCCACTAAGCCCAGATTCCTGTCCCCAGACACCTCTGGGCAAGGGTGATTCAGAGGTCAATCAACTTTCCCTCCTTTATGCTCCCCAACTTCCCTAACTCCAGTCCCCTCCTCCTGAGGACTGCAAGGAAAGGTGCTTTTGCAAGAGAAATTTTAACCACAAATTGACTCTTGGATGGATTTATAGACCAAACTCACCAATTACCTAAGCAGTGGGGAGAAAAACCAAGCCAGAAAATCAAAAACACCTCATGGTGGGATTTGGTCAAGTTTTCTCAGACTGGTAGCACCCCTAAGAGTCTGGCATAAGCAAAAGGAAAGCCTTCCCTTTTGGAATCTATTTTCTAGGTAGGCTTCAAAGAATCCCCTAAATGATTTCTTGTTGTTACCACTACACAGCAGCCCGGTAGGAGAGAGCTGAAAGGGCTGAAAGATTCAGGCTCGGAGTGGTGCATCAGGGCAAAGCAGTACACAACCGGAGCGAGCCAGCGGCATTGCCAGGTCTGGCCCGAAGCCAGGTTGGCAGGAGTACACCAGGGAAGCCCTGGTAGTGTAAACCAGTCAGAATGGGCGAGCCCTGACTAGGTGAGCGAGCAAGCAAGGACATGCGAAGGAGGAAAAGGGCAGTAAGAGCAGAGCTGGAGCTGGGGGGAGGTGAGTTAATACAGCGCGTGCTGTGGTGTGCTGGGCACCTGCTAAAGACGAGCAGGTACCAAGCTTGACTCTCAGATTACTGATGACAAAAAACCCAAAACAAAAAACTAACAACAAGGAAACAAAATCACTTTTGTGACGTTTATCAGGTTAAAAAAAGTCAATATGATAATCATTGATAATGCTAATGATCAAAATGACAATTGCTCCTCCTCCTCCTCCTCTTACCATCACCTCCATTACTAATGAACAGTGTACTCACATTTCACATGCATTACTCTTTACTCTTAGCAATAACCCTGAAAGGCAATTGCACTATCCCTACTTTACAGATATGGAAGTTGAGAATTAGAATAGTAAATACTGGTAAGTCACATAGCTGTTAAGTCAGAGAGCTGGGGTTTGTACCCAGGAGGTCGGCCCCAGGACCCACAGGCTGGCACTACTGTTCCAGGGACTGAGACCACACACAGAGTGCCCACAGGTTCTCCAGAAGCCCACGCTGCACAGCAGGGCTGGTCTGCAGGTGGTCTGCAGACCACTGGCATCAGTCACCCGTGGTGGCGTAAGTATAGAAATGAAGAATAAACATTTAGACACTTTTGCAGAAATGCCATGCTGTGGCCTCCCAGCCCATGAACATTTTTCCAGTAACCAACTATTATATTTTACAAAGGGTGGGGGTGGGGAACACTCGCTCTTCACCCAGATAGTTTGAGAAGCACTGCTGTGTAGTGTAGTAGAAAAGTCATCTCACCATCCTTCTCTCTGTAAAGTAATTATGTATAGACCAAAATCACATGATCCGCCTGCAGCCCTCAGATGATCCAGTGTGGCTGATGGGGAGCAAGTAGAGGGTGCACTCTGACGGGTGCCCTGCAATGCAGACACCACTCCAGGTCATCTCACTAGTGGTGGCACTCATCACACCAGGGTCTGGTCAGGACCGGTGATGAGTAACTAACAGCCTCACTTTGGCTCAGAAAGGCCAGTGGTGAAATCTATGCTCTGTTCCAAGAAATCTCTGGATGTAAACAGGACGTCAACTCATACCTCCACTGTAACATTTATCCCACTAGGTTTTGCTGACCTCTTCATGGGTCCATCTCCCTCAAGCAGCTGTGAACCCCTAGAGCACAGAGATCTTGCCCCATTCAATATTATATGCCTAGCACAGAACAGGGGCCTCGTGCACGTTTGTTGATTAGTTGATTGATTCATAGCTTCTCCCTTAAGTCTTCCTCCCTCAGGACATGACAAATGTGAAACGTATTGGGTAATTTTAGGTTTGCAATCAAATGGCCTCAGCTGAGCCTGCAAATGTTCATTGCTAAAAGATTTTAAGCAAAATATTGCATGCAACTTATGCAAGACCTTGCAGTAGGTAAAAGAGAATCTTATTTTTTATATCATTTCACAATAGATGTATGAAAAAAAGACTGCCAATCACGCTCCCAGCAGGAAGCCTGCCAGGCAGTATCCCAGCATTGGAGCTGCTCCCCCGTGGGGCTGAAGGGACCAAGGGCTGCCCTTTCTTTCCCCACTGCCTCCTCCCCACATCTACACAGAGTCAGTGGGTTGGAGAGTGTGCGCCATTTTTCTACCATATGTGGAGATCTAAGAAAGATGATTTAAAGTGTCTATTTTTACAACTTGCACAAGATGCTATTAAACAGGCCTTTAATAGCTGTCTGTAGCTTTACTTCCTAATTTGTAGATGCTTCCCCCGTCCCCTACCTCTTTCAAACTGAACAGATTTGCCAGGATTTTTTGTTCGTTATGAAATAAGATGTTCTTTGTCTGGGCTCCAATTTGCACTGGACGTCCAGGTTAACAACCATGCTCTCCCCTAACCCACTTCCACTCGACTTGGCCCAGTCCCTTCCCCTGAGATAGATTTTCCTTTTCCTGGCATGCGGTGTGGGGCAGAGATCTAAATAAGACCCTTGGTCATCCTTTGCTTATTCTTTTTTAATTCTTTTTTTTAACTCTAAAAAAAGCCACTTTTCACTATAATCTTTTAGATCTTTACAAATCTGAACTTTCAGAGTCTCCTCTGTGGCCTGCAGCTCACCCCTCTGCCAGTTCTTCTCAACATCAGTTTACTTTAGCGTTCCCACGTCCAAAACTCAACTCTATCTCCATCACATGCCCCCCCCCCCACCAGTTGGACTGGGTTACTCCCAAACCTGATGCGATTTTGACCACACACACACACAGGCTTCAATTTAAAATTTGAGTTCAAGCTGGGGGACTGTCCAGGTCAGAAATGACGACACATACCCAAGGAGCAATAGCTAAGGACCCCCTTCATTCAATGTCTAATATATGTGAGAATCCCTCAGAATAGTAAGGTGTGCTGCATTGCAAGGTCCTGCTACTTATAAATCTGAATGAAGTTTTAAGGGAAATTGGCTGAATTTGAGGAGATTTTCTTTTCTAAGAATGGAAATCTGCCAATAACTTAATATTACATTTTCTAACATTACATTTCTTACTATGACAAAACTATAATACTCCTTTCAGAACTTCTAAAACACTGAGGGTTACATGCCTGCCATATACATATATATATAATTATATCACGAACTATACACACACACACATATATATATGGGAGGCATAATCACCTTCATATTACACATGGGAAAACAAGTGGAAATGTGAAGACTTTTTGAAGTCATAATAGTAAACTTAAGATAAACCTTTTGGCAGAACCAAGTTTTCTGACATCCACATTAGTATTCTCTCCACATACAGAATATGGACAAGCATCAAATAAATGTCTCTAAAGCTAAAAGACCACTTTGTACAGTGTCTCAATAACCAATAACAGTAAGCCAACCTCAATTACAGGGAAGGCCTCCCAAAGCCAAGCATGAGGCCATTTCGAAACTCACTTTTTTCTTTTTTAGAGGTGATCATTTTTATTGTATTTTTCCCATTACCATTTAGTTACACCCACCTTTTAAAGCCTTGAAGTGTTGAACGGCCATCCTTAGCACTGTGAGTTTGTCCAGTTTTCGTGTCAGGGGCTTGCATTGCGGGACCATGGCAGACAGCTCTTCAATCAGGTTATTCATTCTATCTCTCCTCCGCTTTTCAGTCTGGCTGTGAGCTTCTCTACGAAGGAAAAAGAACCGCCTTCACATTTCCCATTGGGCAGACCCCTGTGGCCCCAGAGGCACGTGGAGCTGGAGCACGTGGGGAGGCCAGCAAGCACACCTGCTCGTCCCACCTTCGGCCCTGCTGTTGCTAGTCAGGGAGAGAAGGGAGCTTTTGAGACCAGGAAGAGCGCTTATAAGGTTCACAGTGTTTTCACCCCCACCATGTCCTCGCTAATTCCTTATTCTACCCTATTTCCTGAAACCTTCAAGAACTAAGACATTTGTTAGCCACAGACGGTGGTATTTTTACATTTTTCCAGTCTTAGAAAAAGAGATGGGTGGCCTTCTATTCAACACTCACTCCTCTGTGGTATTTGCTTAAACAATTATCCACATCTTAACCTCCTTCTCTCTCATAGCTCCTTCTCACGGGTCTACTAACATGCTCAAGTCTCTTTCCTCTGAAAAGAGCCATCCTTTCCCTTGTTGTACGGTTTTTTCCTTGCTACTGTCTTCCTGTCAGCCAGCTTCCTAAAGGTACAGTCTCCGCTCTGTCTTTCATTTCCCAGGCACTTCATCTGTTAAAAGTGAACCTACTGCAATCCCCTCTCCACTAAAACTATTCTAGGGAGGCTCATCCTTATCTTACACAATCCCTGCAGTTCGACACTGTTTACATTCCTCATTCTTCACCTGGCTTCGGTGACCTCTCCTGCCCCTCCACCTGGCTGCTCAGCTGAGTCCCCTCAGTCCCTTTACTCAGCTCTTCTGTCCTTAATCACTGGAGTCTCCCACAATTTTCTCTTTGGTACAGTTCCTTCTTTCCTCACCCTATAGCTTCACCCTAAGAACGCTCATTTCCTCGGAAGGCCTCATACCTACTCTTAAGCTGCTTACTGTGAAATCCCTATACCGAACCCAGTATAGGGTTCCTCCTGCCTTTTGGAACAAGAATACATACCTTAGTGATCCCCAAATATGCTTAAAACCTAAGAAATTGCGAACTAAATGCATTCTCTGCATTTTGCCCCATTTTAATTATCCTTCCACTAGCCCCAATTCACTCTTCTTTCCATAGGATTTATCTTGGCTGGTGCAATAGACTCATTGAAAAGAAAAGTCTAGACTTTTCTTCTTCATCCTGAAGTGCCAAATAAACAAAAACTGCCATAGATTCTGTTTTTTAAAATATTTCTTCAATATGCTTTCTGCCCATTGTCTGTCACTTACGATAGCTCATTGCACTGACCCAAAAAGCCTTTTAAATTCATGTTCCTTCTTCTAGTGTTCTCCTCTACTAATCTTTCCTAATTACCACTTCCAGAATTATTGCTCTAAAACAAACCAAATCATCTAATCTCATTGCATAAAACTGTCAAAATGCATTTCCATTCCCCACGAAGAATGGCCCAACTCCCTAAGGACACCCCAACTTTCTCCATCTGCGGGCTCATCCCCGCATCTCCAGGTTCACCTCTCCGTGCCCCCTCCCCGCAGCTCCAAATGGTATACGGCAGCAGTGCCCAGTGACTTGCTGCTCCTCAAACACGCCGGGTCATGGCATGCCCCCTCTAGGTCTTGCTCCTTTCCAGGCCAAGAAAAACCAGAAAAAAACCCGGTTTTTCTCAAAGCTAAGCCACCATCAATTGTTAAGAAGCACTATTATTTCGTGCATTACAAGGAACGAAAAATGCTGCCCATTACCAGGAAAATGACACAATGGCAGAGACATTTTTCACAGGTGACAAAATGTAGGGGGAAAATGTATACCTTAGATTTCAAGAATTAGCTATTTTGCTCCTCACACTCGACTCTTAACATCTGTCTCCTACAACACGCAGGCCATGACAGCTCCCTAACTTCTATGTAAGAAGAGTTTAGGGGAGACAATCTGATGGGGAAGAAGGTAAGGGAGAGAACTACCTTGATCTGTTTTCATAGTAACTTTTTCACTTTCTTTCACGGAATCTATTTTTCTACACAGAAGTGGGGAGAGGCGCTGATGGGGGCAGATGGAGCTAAACACCGCCCATCCCAGCCACCCACTCTCGGGCAACGCCGCTTCTGGAACAAAACACATAGTACTTTTGGGTAAACTGGATAGAATTCACATTACACGTGCATTTCCATAAAATTGAGTTATCTACTCATACTTTGGCCTATTTGTGACCAAATAAATTTTTTAGATTACGACATCCTTCTAATCATAGAGTTTTAATTATCCTCTGGCTAAAATGATCACCTCTTTCTACCAGTATCACCCATTTGAACAGACAGTCGCCTGATCGAGGGACAGAAGCAGAAGGATGGACGCGTCCTCAGAGCCAGGGTGTGGAGGGAGTTAAGAACAAGGTGACAGCGAGGCCACTGTGCAGACCAATGAATGACAGAGGCTGGAAGGCGGGAGACCCAGAGGAAGGCGAAATAACCAGTTTTTGAATAAGGAACTTGGAGGTGCGACTGAAAAAAAAGATTTCCAGAGGATTTTATTAAGGGAAGGCATATTTATCCAGAAGCTAGTTCTCTATCTAGTTATTAGGGCTCTGCCTCCTAATTCTGTGTGGTGTTACTGTCACTTTGAATCATGTCAGTGTCTGGTAGAATCACATCAATAAAATAGAGCTGGCCATGTTACCATGGAATTAAATATAACGAATGAATTAAAAAGCAATCTTTTTCTTTTCTTCTGTAGAGTTAACAATTTCATGGAGCTAAAGGAACAATTCACTTACTGGGAAGGATCTGAATCACTTCCTTTTCGTTTTCTTGGGAACTCTGTCACGTGTGAGCTGAAGGAGCCAGCAGCTGTGGGTTTTGTCCATGGGCTCATGTGATTGGTAACCATGGGAACAATGAACTGGTTGTCCTCTATCAACACTTTACCTGTGAGAGAACAAAGATAAAGCACAATAAGATATCTAATGTTAAACGTTAACTGTTACTTTATATATATCCATATCACACATCTTAAATGGCTTTCCTATCTTAAAAATATCAACTAAATAACAACATATCATAGAAAGAATAATTATGTATGTTCAAGTATTAGTTAGAAATGTATTTGTTACTTCGTATTTTTAAGTTTACCAATCTAAATGTTAAAAAATGAGCATTATAGAAAATATGGAAAACACAAGAAAAGTAGAAAGGAAGGGGGAATATCAAATTTCACAAACCAATGTTACTATTTAGAGATATTTCCTTTTCGAATTTTCCTATAGGTGTCATCATCATGTATATTTTGCTTTATTTATGCATAACTCTACAGTGTTATTACAAATTCTTTTTTTAAAGATTTTATTTATTTATCTTTAGAGGGGAAGGGAAGGAGAGAGGGAGAGAAATATCGATGTACAGTTGCCTCTCATGTGTCCCCCACTGGGAACTGGCCTGCAACCCAGGCATGTGCCCTGACCAGGAATCGAACCGCGATCATGTGGTTCGCAGGCCCGCACTCAGTCCACTGAGCTACACCAGCCAGGGCACAATTGGTAGTTTCACTTTCTAAATTATTAGAAATTCTTTCTAAATTCTTTCTAAATTCTTCCCAAACTTCCCAAAACATAAAAAGTTAAAACAATAAAGAAAACTACTGATCAATTTGACCCCCTTAAAATTAGGTTAATGTTGATCAAAAGGTACCGTAAAAGGAAGGAAACTACAAGCCATGTGTTTGCTAAACACATGTAAACAACAAAGGGCTAATATCTAAATCACGTAAAAAATGCCTTTGCACTAATGATACCAACAACCCAATAAAACACTGAATAAGAGATTTTAATGGGCACTTCTCAAAAGAAATTCCAACTACCAATACACGAATGAAAATACAGTCAAACCTCAGTTCTCAAAAGTCTTGGTTCTGGAACAGTTCAGTTCTCGACCAAGTCGTTCACAGGAAAAATGTCTCGGTTGTCTGACAAAACATTGAGTCTCAATTCTCTCCCCAGCAACCCTTTCATGCTGAGACCTGTGTGATCAGTCACGCATCTCTCAGGCAACAAACAAAGGAGATCTGGTTCCCAACAAATCGCTTCTCAGTTTTTCAGAATGAATTAGGTTCAAGAACCGAGGTTCCACTGTATACCCAATCTCATTACTAATTCAGGAAAATCCAAACTATAGTGACATTATTACACACTATCCTATGGCTACAACTGAAGAGTGATCAGCTGGATCACTACACGTTGTTGGATCAGTGATCCTACAATGCGAGGATGGGGAGCAATGGGAACCCACACGCTTTGCTGGTGGGAATGGAAATTGCTACAAGCACTTTGGAGACCATTTTTACGTTACCTAAGAAAGCTAAACATGTACCAACAACATTTGCCAGCATTCCATTTCTCCTAGGTACATGGAGAAACTCTTAATGTATATTAGGAGACACGCACAAGAAATGCATTAATAACACTGTTTATAATTGAACAACAAAAATTAAAACCTGAGAAAACTGGAAACTTCCATCAACAGATGGATAAATTGTTTATTCACTGACCAGAACACTACCAGCAATAAAAGTGAATGAAGTACTAATATACTCACTCACATGGATGAATCTCAACATAATACTAGACAATTAAAGTGACAGCCAAAGGCAAAGTGTTTTTCTAAATTTTAAGTTAAATTGGTAAAACTAATCAATGTATTTTTAGCAACATCTACAGAAATTGCTACACTATACAGAAAAGCAAGGAACAGTGAATACAAAAAGTCAGAATTCTTTCTGGGAGAAGAAGGGAGATATGATCAGTGAGGAACACACAGAGAATTATAAGGAATTCATGTTCTATTTCTTAGCCTACCTGTGAGTTCACAGATAATTGTTTTGGTTTTATTCTTTAAACTACACACAATTTTTTAACAATCCTCTATAAGAATAATAGGTTTCACAATAATAATAATTTTGCCAGTGATTGCTGGTCACTTGGAAATTAAGTTTCTTTTTTATGGTATTCTAAATCTTCTAAATGGGACCTATTTATAATCACCAAATACCACATGAGATTACTTATAGCAGAAGCTCCTAGACTTTATTCTATCTAAAAGGTTTTTAATGGTAGAACTCTATCTGTCTACACACACACACACACACACACACACACACACACACACACACGGGAATTTCTTATTGACAGCGAATCAATAGGAAGAATGCACTAACACCAAGCCACAGCGCACCCTGGAATATGTAATACCATACCCCTCCTACGCCTCCAGCACACCTTCATGCAGGGATGCTGTCCCTACTGAAGCTCAGCACAAAAATAAATATTGTTTTGCCTCTCATTTTAGGCATGATCTCCACATGTTTAGTGCTACTTCCTTATTAACCTTTAAAATAAGAAGTGGACTGTCTTTAGGCAGGGAAAATAACATTCTCCTTTTCACAAACTCCAAACCTGAAGCTCTAAGGGTCTTCCTGTTCCCTAACGGGAGGAGTGCTGCCCCATAATTAGCTGTGTTTCGGCCAGTTTGGCTGTGTCAGCACAGATGTATTCAAAACAGAGGGCTTTCTGTAAACAAAAGGGAAATGTGGGTTAGTGGGGCTAATCGATTCCGGATGAAAGGATCTGTTCTCTGGAAATGATTCGACCTTCACGGAGTGGATTTTTATTTGTTAGAAGGTAACTCAAGTAAAAGAGTAAAGATTTTTCTCTTTTTTAAAAATATAATTGGTATATGATGTTATGTTAGTTTCAGCTGTGAAAAGATTTAATTTTTTTAATCTTCCAGTTTACTTTCAGCCTCCACATATACTTATTTAGAAGATAAGACCCTGTGTTAGAAATTGAAATTTAGCTTTCCTTTCATATAACTCATTTTGGAGATTATTGTTTCATAATTTTATATTGTCTTTCCTTACCAAATTGGATTACTTTCCCAATGACACATGTAATACATTGTTACTTAACACGCAGTAAAATAATTCAGAACTTAGATTGTACAAGGATACTGGGACTGTCTTTCCACAAAGTCTGTGGTTTTATTTTAAATGAGATTAGCATCAAATCTCAGTCCATGGGTGTGGATCTCCCCGGCGACGGTAATCAGCCTAATAATATTTTAGAGGTCTACCATTTGGTATCAAGTCCTTAAGAATGGAAATAAAATGTGGGAAATAGCAGCTGCTTGGGGGTCACCAAGAGGGGAGACCAAGGAGCCACTTGGATTAGGTTCATAATTAAGAGGGGTTCAAATTTAGAATTCGACACTATGTTTCAAAGAGAATATACATAGAGACACACACACATGCACACGCATGTGCAAATGTGCAACTGCAGGATCAAAAATACATATTTTTCAAGCAACTTAAAAACTTTTTCTCCTGCTACCTACGTTCATTGCCAGTAGAGAGCTATATGTTAAAATTTACATAAAATTTAATCTCTAAGCAACTTTTTGTTAAATACAATTTGTTCAGCATAAACATTTAAGTTACTTTCTTAAAATATGAAAGTGGCCTTTGCTTCTTAACTCCTCGGAGCCCATGCCCAGAAAACCCTTCAGTCTGGTCTCCCCCAGAAACTCTTGTGGTTTTTTGGACAAGCCATTTAACATATCTAAGACGGTTTCTTAGATGGAAGTAATTCCCTGCAAACCCCATTTGTTTGTGCTGGGAATCAGATAAAATAATATATTGAAATTTGTTTGAACTTCCGGCCAAGATGGAGGCGTAGGTGGAAACACTGTACCTCCTCACACAACCAAGTTTAAAGATAACAAAGTTTTAGTAATAAAAACACAACCAAAACACAGAAAATTGAACTGTATGGAAATCTGACAATAATGAACCGTTCATCCAGACTGGTAAGAGGGGCAGAGTCAGCAGCTGGCGGAGCAGGGTCTCGCAGGAAAAAGTGGCCAGACCGACCCAGGTGCACAGGTGGCGGTTGGTGGATCCCAGGTGTGGGGTGGCAACGGGCGGACCCAGTGAGGGCGTGGGGCGGCTGTCTGACCGCCCCGTGGTCAGATAAACCATTTACATTTGTGTGCAGATAAATCAGGCAGAGGAGCAAGCTGTGAGACAACCTCACAAACCAGGGCCCCAGTGATGGGAAATAAAGCCTAAAAGCACTGATTGGAAAAACTTTCAGGGTTGAGGTGCCAGGAGAAGTTCCCAGGCTCACAGAGAGTTTGTTGGAGAGACCAACAGGGTCCCGGAGGGTGCACAAGCCCACACACCTGGGAACCAGCACCAGGGGGGCCCAGTTTGCTTGCGGGAAACAGCAGAGGGGACCAAAATCCGAGAGAGAGCAGAACAAACGCCATTGCCCCTCTCTGACCCCACCCCCACATACAGCATCACAACCCAGCCATATGGATTGCCCCACCCTGGTGAACACCTAAGGCTCCGCCCCTCATACATAACAGGTGCAAACAGATCAAAACATTATGGCTCAAGAAGAAGAATAGCTCAAAGCCTCAGAGCCAATACTTCTAAGTGACCAAGAGATAGCCAACCTATCAGATGCACAATTCAAAACACTGGTGATCAGGATGCTCACAGAACTGGTTGATTTTAGTCACAAATTAGAGGAACAAATGAAGGCCAAAAAAAGCGAAATGAAGGAAAATGCAAAAGGAACCAATAGTGATGGGAAGGGAACTGGGACTCAAATCAATGGAATGGACCAGAAGGAAGAAAAAAATGACCAAACAGAAAAATATGAAGAAATAGGAATTCAAAAAAATGAGGAGAGGCTTAGGAACCTCCAGGACATCTTGAAACATTCCAACGTCCAAATTATAGGAGTACCAGAAGGGGAAGAGGAACAACCACAAGTGGAAAACTTACTTGAACAAATAATAAAGGAGAACTTCCCCCATCTGGCAAAGGCAATATACTTCCAGGAAATCCAGGAAGCTGAGAGTCCAAAGAT